AAGAGAGAAAGGCTGGTTCGAATTAGGGAAAAAAGTTAATCCCTTGATTCGGCCAGACCTATTATTATATTATTGACTTATTGGAAAAGACTTGAGTGCCCTTCTTTAAGTAAGAGGCACTCGAACTAACATAACAGTACACATCAGCATTCTCAACAAGTACAAAGACTGAAATACCCCTTCACTAACACCACTAACAGAAACCTAAGTTTGGATATTCTATTTTTTCATTTTGAAGCATATACATAACTAATAGATATCGGAAAGTAGGTTAATAGATGAATTTATGCCAATATTTAGCCCCTAACAGAAGGAAACGTTATTACAGATAAAAGGGAACAGCAACAAGGAAAGGATTAGGTAAAGAGAATAATCAGTTCAGCAAGTCATCATGTCAAAACAGTAGAGATCCAACAATCCCTTCTTTTTGCAAGGAAAGAAACCTATTTATTGCATAACTTCAGAACCTATGTTACAGGGTCCGTCAATGGGTCTTGGCTTCATTATGTGTTTAGGAGCCCAGTCTGGCTGAGTCCTAAATCTTTGAGAATTGGCATACATTGAACAATAAATTTATAATTTCAAGTCAGAAAGCAAGCTATTTTTAAGGATCTAAATGCTTTCCATCATTGATAATCTATAAAGGAATTGTTAGCAAGAAAGGAATAAAACAATGAATATTAAGCATTATAATTAACAACTCAATGTAAAAGTGGGTTAGAAGTTTTTAGTGCATAAGGTTAATGTCCACTCAACTAACTTCTAAATATAGTCTTTTTTTTTCTACCAAATCAAGTTATGATTGATATTGGGTGCATGTTCAGAAGAAGTAGAATGTGTTCAATCTGTCAGTACTCAGAACCAAAAAGGTGAAAGAGTTTGGTGGGTCAGAAAGATGATTCCATATGCACTACTTTGTCATTCTTTGTTGACATGGGTACTTTGGGTGCATGTTCAGAAGAAGTTATGATTGATATTGGGTGCATGTTCAGAAGAAGTAGAATGTGTTCAATCTGTCAGCACTCAGAACCAAAAAGGTGAAAGAGTTTGGTGGATCAGAAAGATGATTCCATATGCACTGCTTTGTCATGCTCTGTTGACATGGGTACTTTGGGGTTTGGGTTAAATGAAGGGCCTGAGTGCAAACCTCAGTAAAGGGAGAGTAGATTATCCAACTTAAGATAAACTTGTAGGTTTTCTTTTAGGCATGAGACCTACTCATCAATGTTATCAAAACCTTATAATTTACAAAGTGGTTCACAATTTGAATCATGAATCCCAAGGGTTTCAATTTGAATCTTATGTCTGAATACAATTCATGCTATTCAAATCAATTCTGAAAGGAGAATCGTTTTAATCCACTTACTAAAAAATGATTTATTAAGATTATTTAAACCTTCTAGAAACAATATTCAGTTTATTTTCCATCATATGTAGGTTAAAGAGCCATTGTTTGTGGATTATTTGACTTTCAAGTAAAACTTGATTATATCATCTTAGGCTTCTACTAAATTATATTGTTTTAGGTACCTATATGGTAGATATGGATTAAAAATAGGGAAAATTCACTTATATATATAGTTTTTTTAGTTTATGTATTTTTAACTTTTTTACAAGTTTGCAATTAACAGAAATAATTTTGTCATCTACAATACAAGTCATGATTTGATTTGAATAAACTTTCTCTATGATTTATGACACAGCTACCCATGAGATCCTTCATAATATATGATACTTTTCAATGGACTTTGCCTATTCTGGAGGCCAAGAAATAGCATTAGTGTTGTTAAGTTCAGCAGTAAATTGTTGTCAAATCCAAGATAAAAAGAAAGCCCATTACCCAATGTTGGTCCCAGCTATCTGGGGTCTTGGGAGGGGTAGACTGGATACAGCCCTAACCTTTGGCATATTTTTCCCAAAGTGGTTACTCGCAGACTTGAACATGCATTGTCAAATCCAAGATCTTAAACACAATTTTGGCTTCTGTTTGAATTACTTTCTTTCATGGGATCCAAATTATTTGACTGGTTCTACCACTCTTATATTTTAAATTTTGCTATCAAAACCTGAAGACTCAGGTTTTCCTAGTGAGCAACATAAAAATTAAGTTTTCATCCATCATTTTTTAACTGAGAATGAGGTTTTGACCATCAGAACAAACTTGCTCTCAGTATTTTTGTTAAACTCCAAATATCAGGCATTATTATGCCCAATTCATGCTCTTTCACCTCTCCTCTTAGTAATGGTCCTACATTTTATTACAGCCTTTTCCCCCTTCCTCTCTCCATTTGTGTGTTTCTGCATGTGGTTGTGTGCCTTTATGTGTCTGCTTTTCCTTTATCTCATATATCATTTGGATGGTCATCCAAGAACAAGGTATGTGGGAATCCAGCTTGAATTTGCTTCCCTCTCATGGTAACTAACATGAACTGCCAAAATTTGAGCATTCCAACTTGTAATAATATATATTGTTGCTTCAGTATTCCAACCTGTCTGAAAGTATTCCTTCAATATCTTGTGCATTCTTAAATTGAGAGGCATGTTATTTTATATCCAATTAACTACTTTGTGTATCATATGTTTAGATTCTAATGGCAATGCATAGCAACATGGGGAACAATAATTGAAAAAACAGAAACAAATATCTTTCTGACACTTTTTGGTTCTTGATTATCTATACAATATACTGAGTAATTCAACAAATAAATGTTTCAAGAAAAGATCTGTACAATCTAAAGGACTGGATTTTCTGTTGATTGACAACAAACAAGAATCAAAATGGTCACTTTGAAATAGCTGCCACTATGCTCTGTTTCATTTATCTTTTCCTTTATGGACATACGGCTTTGAATTTTTGTTTGTATTTTTGTTGTATACTTAGTCTTCTCCAAGTGATCCAAAAACAAAAAATCAAAAAAAAAAAAAAAAAACAAAACAAAACAAAAACAAAAACAAAAGTCTTCTCCAAGTGTATCCCTTAACCTGAAATGATTCACAGGTTACCTTTTTAGTACTGCATTTTCTGTTTGCAGATGGTGCAAAATCAAACCTCTTCCAGGGGCCAATCGGATAATTAAACATTTGAAGGTTAATGGTGTGGTGATGGCATTGGCTTCAAACTCCCCAAGGGAAAGCATAGAATTGAAAATATCTCATCAACCAGGTATAATACCATTAAAATTCAAAAGAATTTAGTTCTTGAGTTCTCATGTGTGATAAGTTAGTGGTTATAGTTTTCAAGGTGCCAAGGCGAAGCTAGGTGACAGGGGGGCGCCTTGTCACCTAGTTGCCTAGGTGGCGCCTTGGTGATGGATTTTTTAAGTAAAAAACATATGTCCTAGGGTAGCTTCCTAGGTTCCATAACCATATTTCCTTAATAATTATCCATAATTTTCATAAGAAAAGTATATGCTTCATGTTAAAGTTTAGAAAAACAACATATTCACGAGAAGACAAAAAATAAAGAAAAGAAAACTCAAAAAGCATAGGGGCTGAACCCCTATTTTTGTTATAGGAATAGAAGAAAAGAAAAGGTGGAGAAAATGTGTTTATTAGACAACATTTTAAGTTCTTCCTTACTTAGTGGTAGTGGTGGCAATTGGGCGGGTTGGGTTGGGTTTGGTTTGGGTTGAGTTTCAACCCAACCCATTTAACCCGCCAACGCATTAATGACTCAATTATGTAAAATTAACACTTTAACCCAATCCAACCCGTCAAAACCCATTAATCTTATATTTATGTACTTAAAACCAAAAACTAACTCCTTCCTAATAAATAAGTTGGTCATAGCTTGGTGGTAATAGTAGTTGTTATTTACACAAGTGGTGAAGGTTCAAATCACATTACGTGCATTATTTTTACACAAGCAGCAAAACTATTTAACTATGTTCGGGCTTCGGATTTGATGAACCAATTAGATTCAAACCGGTCAGACCAACTTGAACTATCTAATTGGATTGTCTTTGAGCTAATTACATCAAGAGTGGTTGAACCGTTTAGATTTGGACCAGTCCGGTCGGACCAAATCCCGACTGAACCGGTTCAGACCGGACCCAAACAGACCAGATTCTGTCCAGTCGGGATCACAGCGACCGAACCGGTTCAGCTTGGTCGGGCCAGACCCTGATTAGACTGGTTCACTTCGGTTAGACCGGACCGATCCGGATTCGAGTCCGTCCCAGGTCAGAGGCTCCAAAGGATCTAGGTCAGCTAGCATTGTTGACCCGGGCCGGATTCGGGTCAGGTTGTATGGATACGATCCGAACCGGGCAAAGAAAGTGGAGTGGTTTAGGGTATGGACTTCACTCGGTCCGACCCGCTTTGGATTTGGGTCGACCCAGATAAGCTTGTGTTGGGTCGGGCTGGGCTATGTGAATAATGGTTGGACTGGACGACCCAAACCAGGCAAAGCAAGCAATACCGAGCCATCCTGTTTGAGGTCTATTTCAAATTTGATTTGACCCGGGTCGGTATATGTTGGATCGGGTCAGACTGCATTAAACTGATCCGGACTTGGGTGAAATTGATTTGGATTTATGTTGGGTGAAGTGTGTTGATTCAAGACAAAACTAAATTTAGTCAACAATTAATAGAAAATTAATGCATTAATCATAAATTATTTAATTCAAATGAAGAAAATAAAAAAAAAGGCTAAAGAATTAATACTTATGTTTGTAATGGTTAACCCAACAGTTATCCACAACCCAACCCAACCCAACCCATTTAAATGGGTGGGTTGGGTGATGGGTTGATCACACAACCCGCCAAGTAAATGGGTGGGTTGGGCGGGTTAGATTTTGGGTGGGTTGGGCAGGTTCAGCGGGTTGGGTGAAAAATTGCCACCCCTACTTAGTGGTTCAGGTTTTGAAGTCTTTGAGGATTCAATACAGCATTTAGCAATGTTTGTGTTGATTAAACACTAACAAATAATATAATAATAAAAACAAATTAGTATGTAAACATACATACTAAGATGCAAATTAGTATGTCTTTGAGGGTTCAATACAGCATTTGTCTTATCATTGACCTTTTGTTATTCTTCATTTATAGGTTGGAAAGAATCCTTTTCTGCCATCGTTAGTGGTGACGAAGTGAGAATGGGGAAACCATCTCCCGAAATGTAAGATGAAAAGGTTTATTTCTATATATAATTTTCCTATTGAATAACATTGTCTGTTAATATTACTTAATTTATTTTCTTTTCCTTTTTCATGTAAAAGATTCCTTGAAGCTGCTAAAAGGTTGAATGTTGAACCTTCCAGTTGCTTGGTAATTGAAGATTCACTGTAAGTGATGTAATGGTTTTTATGATGAAATATTTTTGGTACAAGCATCCTGGTTAATACTTTCAAGGGATCAAATATTTCTTACTTTCTTAATTATCAAAAATAAAAGGTTTCTTACCTTTTTGACTGAAATATTCCTCACAATTCTTGTACTTTCTTTAGATCCAGAAATACCAATTTCTAATTAAAATTGCATTCTTTTGTCAAAAGCTGATGTTATAATAATTATTCACTGGGACTCTTGAATCATGGCCACTTGGTTAGGGATTATTCTTGATGGCAGCTATTTTCCAATGCATTTAAATTACATGCAAGTATTTTTCCAAAAGAAGCATATTGTAGGGCATTATGAGGACTGCAAATGGTATCTATTTATCCAATCCAATCTAAATAAGGCAATCCAAATTCAATCCATTTATAATTGGATGACCAAATGTGAATATACTCCAATTCAATCTGATAATATTTAAACATTTACATTTATTCTTTTATCTACATAGAATTAACATGTATCTATTAGTAAAGTAATAAAGTTGGTTTGAATGTTGTAAGTCATTTTCTATTCATTATACAGAATATGAAATTCTTTTTTTTAGCTTATTTTCTGATCATTTTTAATTTAACTTTTTGATATTCCACATCCAAATCCAATCTAAGTGCAGTCTAAATCCTATGGATAAGATTCTATACAAATCAAATTTGGATCTAAATATATCCTATTTGATTCGATCTGTTTTCAGCATTAGACATCATAAGAAAATTTACAAGCTTCAATATGCATTTCAGACTCGCTTCCTAGTGAAATGAACCTCCTGAAATTTTGTTGTTTATTGAGCACTTATGATTAAATCCCAAGAAAGAAACCCTGGAATTTAGTGGTTTTTAAATATTTGAGTGTGGAGAGATCTAAGAAGGGATCATTTTTACCCTAAAGTTAGGTTGATTTTGAATGGCATTTACATCTCATCTCTCAAAAAGAGATTGAGCCTTTGAGCATTTTCAACAGTGTGACTGTGGTCCTATCTTTAGGAGTAAATATTGGAGCATGTGGTTTCTTCCATCATGGAACCCTGGAAATTAAATAGCATGCAAGGAAATAAAGATATTAGGTATTTCCAGACCGTTCTTCTATCTTGATTAAGGGATCCTCATATGATTTAGTCAATTGGATATTTGAACTAAATAGAGGTGGTAACTGAAAGGACACATAAGCTAGCCTAATCAAGTTGATTGGACTTTTTCTTTACATGGACTCCTCTATTTCTACCACATCAGGAAATCATTTGGCTAGCTTTGCTTCAATTACCTCGAGTTGGTCAAATTCTATGTTGCTGTATCTTTCTGTATAAGGTTTTATCTTCTGTTGAATTATAAACACTCAAGTTTTTTTTCTTTTGATTTATTAAGTAATCAAGTCTTTCATCACTACATAAGTCCACCTTAGCCTCCCATCCCATGCCCTTTAATCTCCAACTGCACAATATCTCTAGACATGAAAACCTGTACTCAATTCAGATAAATCCTTCTCGAGTGTGGACTTCAGTCCCCGTTCCTATCCCCATCCCCAATCGGGTATTCCTATTAATCCCATCTCCACCCTGTCCCCACTAAGGCAATCTCCATCCCCAACCCCGCTTAGTTGGGGAGGCTGGGTACTCAGTGGAGATGGGAAAAATTGCCATCCCTACCCCCGGCCCCGGGTTGTGTAGTCCCATAGAGCAATATGATTTAAGCCCAATAAACCCTAACATCTTTTTCCGTGCATACCAGGCTCACTAGTGTGTTATAAAGCGATGGAGTTATAAAGTATTTCATGATGCTTCAATTGATAGCAGCAAGATCCATATTTTCATGTGATTTGATCCTCAGTACTATCCTGGTTACAATAGATCTATGTAGTATGAGTGAATGTGTCATTTATAATAGAATGTATTTATTATATGAGATGTTTATCCGGTGGTAGTATAGTTAAAACAGACTTCTACCTCTCTTGTTTTCAAGTACTTTGTCCTACCATTAGCAGATATCTTTCTGATTATCAGAATGCTACAACCCTTTTCAGACCTGGTGTTATGGCTGGTAAGGCTGCTGGAATGGAAGTGGTTGCTGTTCCATCCCTTCCAAAACAATCCCATCTTTATACTTCTGCCGATGAGGTGATCAACTCTCTGGTCGATCTACAACCAGAGAAGTGGAGCCTGCCACCATTTCAAGATTGTATTCCCCCTAGTAACTTTATTACCTTTTTATTTTTTTTCTTGATCATAACTTCATAAGATTCTTCTCAAGTACAAGTATCGTTATCAAAGGCACCAACTGGAATTTTCAGGGGTTGAGAGTACTTTACCAATTGAAGCTTGGTATATTGGAGGTCCTGTCATTAAGGGATTTGGTCGTGGCTCAAAGGTGCTTGGAATACCTACAGGTGGGTGAATTACCTTATTGCAATTCGCTAACTGATTTACAAAACCTAATTAATTATCACTGATTTCCAAGTATTATTTCTAGTAATGGTATCACATTTGCATATTCGTTTGATTTTTAAATTCTTCAAATTAGTTTGTTCTCAGAAAATATAAACACATGGACCATATTGTCTTCCAGATGCAATAAATCTGTTTATCACTTGCGTTTCATAGCTGGAATTTATAAATTTATTTCATTCTTTCAGCTAACCTGTCCACTGAAGGCTATTCAGAAGTTCTATCAGAACACCCATCAGGTGTATATTTTGGTTGGGCTGGACTATCAACGCGGGGCATCTACAAGATGGTCATGAGTATTGGTTGGAACCCATACTTCAATAACACTGAGAAGACTATAGTGAGTACAAAACAGAACTGATCATTGCTTTAGGGAGTCATCCATTTTCCTAAATTATATACTCATCATGGCAGGAACCATGGTTGCTTCATGACTTTGATGAGGATTTCTATGGAGAGGAGTTACATCTTGTTATTGTTGGATATATACGACCAGAGGTAAAATAAAAATGCTTTGTTCGTTGAGTAGTTAGATTTATAATTTCAGTGCATGTCTTGTAACATATTAATGACATTGTCTCTGGGTTGAAATGTACCAGGCTAATTTCCCTTCCCTAGAGAGCCTGATAGAAAAGATTCACGAAGACAGGAAGATCGCAGAAAAGGCTCTTGATCTTCCCTTATATGTTGGCTACAGGAATGATCAGTACTTGAGGACCTCTTAATACTCATGGCTACAGTAAGGTTTCATACATCATAAGCACTTACTGAAATAATTGATGAAAAACTTTTTCTAGCGCCTTCGGAGTTCTCTATTTTTAATTTTCAATAAGGAGATGTTGCCATTACCGAAACAAACGTAAGGATGCTTCATATTCTGTTTTCTTTGTGCATTGGAATGATAAGAACTCTTGGTAGAGACTCAATGAAGCTTCTAAAATCAATAAATCATGGTTGTTCAATAACGTTCCCCGGGTTTGATGTCTGATCTTATTCTTCATGAATAAAAAACGACATTTGAGTCGGAACCGCAGAAGTTAAGACTGAAGAATGGAAAGAAACTGGACTGCCACGTTAACAAATACTGCTATAAGCATTGCAATTCAGCAAGTTGCCTGATCAGTGATCAGCCCAGGCAGCCTCAGCCGCTCATAACCAGGCAAAGTGGAAGGTCGAATAATCCACTGTTTGATCTAATGGAAGAAACTGCCTTCACTTCTTATTACTCATAGTTATCATACATACGATTTTAAACTATATAATTTCCGATTTTTTTATGGTAAAGATTTCTGATTGTTCTTTCCTATAGTGAATAATTTTCATTAATGATCAGAAAATATAAGCAATAGATCAGCACTCAAAAGAATAAAATCTAAACCCTAAGTTTTTATGGTTTGCTACTTAATGCAAAATAAGCCCTAAGTTTTTATAACCTAAGAGCTAAAAACTTTCTTTTACTAATCCAATTGTTAAAAGACTCGAAACTACGATACCAGATAAGCGAATTTTATAATTATAAAAACTAAGAAAAGTATTTATTGAAACCTCCACTGAAGTTTTGAGTTTGAACTATTGCTAAAATCTCCCCCTAAAGTTTAGTAATTACAATCATCTCCCCTAAGTTTTTTAATTTTTTTGACACAATTGCAAGTAGACCCCTCTATTGGAATCTGCCAAAAAGAGAGAGGCTAGGCTGATCCTACAGAAAAAAAATAATACATTTACCTTTGATTTTTTTGGTAATATTTACCTTTGATTGATATGAACAAAAAATTTGAAAAATAAATCAAGTTAGAAAAGAGATTAGAAAAAATTGGTCAAAGTAACTTCATAAGTTTTTATCAACTGTTGGTAGCTCAATTGGTAGGTTCTCTGACTCGTCGGAGTAGAGACCTAGGATCAAATCCCGCTGCCACCAGGGGGGGTTAAGGGAACGGGGATGGGCTATCCCTTGTTGTGTAGCCCCATGAAGCGAAAAAAAAAAACTGCACAAGTTTTTGAGAATTTTAACAAAAGGGTACATCAGAATGTTTAGGGGAGGTATAGGTAATTGCAATTATCAAACTTCAGTGGTTTGTTGCACTTGCCACCCTTACTATTTCTGACATTTAACTAATTCTACCCATCATTGATAGAAATAAATTTTTTAAAACCCAATATTATTCTTCACCACATTGTAAGAGGAGTAATCATCACTTGTGAGCGGGACTGTTATGTTGGTTCTCAAATATAGTATTTCTATCTGGAGGTGTCTTCGATGATAGTAGAGCCAACGACTTCAAATCTTCTTTCTATGCGGCAAAGCCGAGAATGCATACGACCGAGAGAGACAAGAAAAAGGGGAGAAAGAGACAAGAGAAATGGGAGAAAGAGAGAAAAGAGAAGAAAGAGAATGAAAGAAATAGAACGAGAGCATCTTTCTCCGCCGCTGCGGCAAAACCCTAACCCTAGGAGATGGGTTGTACGATTAGAATGCAACATAAGGGTACACATAAGAGTATTGGATCAGTGTTCAAGTCCCACACCCACCATCAGAAGCGACCGGCTAGATTTAGAAGCCTTAACTTCAGCAAGCGCAATGGATGCCTCAAGGGTGTCGTCACCGAGATTGTTCATGACCCAGGTCGTGGTGCACCACTTGCTTGGGTAACATTCTTCCATTCTTTCCGCTACAAGCATCAGAAGGAGCTTTTCATCGCTGCAGAGGGCATGTAAATCAGCCAGTTCGTCTATTGCCCTAAGAAGGCTAATCTACTGGCGGGTAACATTCTTCCACTTAGGGGTGTCAATTGGATTGGATTTCGTCCAATCCAATCCAGTCCAATGTGATTCCATTATAAATGGATCAGGTCCAGTCCAATCCAATCCAATGAATGTTTTGGACTAATTTGGACTAGTCCAATTCAATGCCTTAACTGCCCAATCTATTCAAATTCATTTTGATTTAGATTGGTTTCAACTCAAATCCGGTCTATTGACACATATATTCTTATTTTATATCAATGGAGATATTGGCTTAATCCAATTCAATCTAATATAAATTTGTTACAGACAGACCAGGTCCAATTCAATCTAATAAATATTTTGGATCAGATTAGTCCAATCCAATATGTCTTATTGGTCCGTCCAATCTGTTTAAATTGATTTTAGACTGGATGGGGTCCAATCCAAAACCAGTCCATTGACACCCTTACTTCCACTCCGATCAATCCCTGAGAGAGTTGTTGTTTGTCAACGTTGAGCACCATGCCAGTGACGGCGGGTCTTTGCTAGGACTTACGCGATTGTTATCGACCATAACCCCTAATGAGGGCGGATTTGGCCCTCCAGTGACATTGTGACACCTGACACCTTGTGACAACTAGGTGCAGCCTCGTGACAACTAAGCAGCTTGCCACTTACAAGCAGCTCGCCACTCATAGGCAGCTTGCCACATACAGCACTCACAGGCAGCTCGCCACCATGCAACACTCACAAGCAGCTCGCCCCAAGCAGCTCGCCACCATGTAGCACTCACAGGCAGCTCGCCACTAGGCAACTCGCCACCATGCAACACTCACAGGCAGCTCAACACCTAGTCAGCCCGGCACCTCACATGCAGCTCGACACCTCACAGGCAGCTCGCCACTTACAGGCAGCTCACCATCATATAGCCTAACAACTTAGACAACTCGGCACTGCATAGGCAGCTCGCCACCAAGCAGCTCGCCACAAGCAGCTTGCCTTGTAACAACTATATTACCTCACCCACTCCTCGATTTAGGCAGAAATGGGCGACCTTACTAGTTGGTGGCTTTATCCCCACCTAACACGAAAGCAGGTCCCATCACAGCGGGAATCCAAGAACTGCTCCACCAAACCCACAAGGACTCCAGTATATAAAGACCTCACCCCTTAGGGGCGAAGGTAGGCAAAAAAGGAAAGATGAAAAATGAGGGGTGATCTCTGCTCTCTAGCTCTCTCATTCTCTAATATCATTTTCAGCTCATGACTATGTGTTGACTTAGCCATCAGAGTGACCTCGCCGGGTAAACACCCCCGGGTTCTCTAATTCAGTTCATGCAAGTCCCTCAGTTCCCACCGTCTACAAAGATGAGTAGATCATCTCCAGCAGGAAGTAGTTGGTTCAGTTTCCGTCGTTGCTGGTAATCAGATCACCTCCTGCAGGGAGCAGCTGGGTTGCGCTATGCTGGGGAAGTCCACTTCAGCCTCTAAGTCATCGGCCACTTGGGAGCAGACGAGGTGATGAGGTACTTAGCCAAAAAAAATGATACGTGACCGGAAATGGTTACATCAATTGGCGCTGTCTGTGGGATCGCTACAAAAAGCTAAGTTCTCATCCTACAAAAAGCTAAGTCCTCTTCTCCCAGAAAGCTAAGCCCTCACTTTTTAGAAACTAAAGCTCTCGCTTTATAATTTCCATTTTTATGAACTCAAAGAAAATGAAGCTCTTGCATTATGAGGCAGATGCAGCGCAATCATAGCTCTAAGGCGCCCACCTGGCGGCCTGGCGTGACCTGCGCACGGCCTGCCAGCTTGGCACGGGTGCCGACCTAGCAGCCTGGCTCAAGTGCGAACTGACGAATTGATAAAAGACTTCCTCGGCACTAGCATAAGACCCAGCCGCCTCTTCGGCATGGGAAAAGTTTAGGAGTGGACTACGAGTCGCTCCCCGAAGCCTAAGGGCCACAACACTGCATAAGACCCATTCGCCTCTTTGGCATGGGCAAAGTTCAAGAGTGTACTATGAGTCGCTCCCCAAAGCCTAAGGGCTACAATACTATTGCATAAGACCCAGTCGCCTCTTCGGCATGGGCAAAGTCCAAGAGTGGACTACGAGTCGCTCCCAAAGCCTAAGAGGTACAATACTGTACAAGACCCAACCGCCTTGTTGGCATGGGCAAAGGAGAGTGGACTACAAGTCGCTCCCAGAGTCTAAGGGCTAAAGTACTGAACTGGCAGAGACCTCGGCGCCTTACGGGCAGCTTGCTTCCAAGCAGCTCCCAGAGCCTAAGAAACTGAATTGGCGCTTACAAGCTCGTCGAATTACGGGTCAAAAGGAGAAATCTACTCCCTTTTTCAAGTTACTTTCAGCTTGGGAGTGGGGGGCAAATGATGAGGGCAGATTTGGCCCTCCAGTGACATTGTGACACCTGCCACCTCGTAACAACTAGGCAGCTCGCCACTAGGCAGCTCGCAACCATGCAACACTCACAAGCAGCTCTCGACTAGGCAGCTCGCCACCATGCAACACTCACAGGCAGCTCGCCACCATGCAGCACTCACAAGCAGCTCACCACTAGGCAGCTCGCCACCATGCAGTACTCACAAGAAGCTCACCACTAGGCATCTTGCCACCATGCAGCACTCACAGGCAGCTCGCCACTAGGAAGCTCGCCACCACGCAGCACTCACAAGAAGCTCGCCACTAGGCAGCTCGCCACCATGCAGCACTCACAGGCAGTTCGCCACTAGGTAGCTCGCCACCATGCAGCACTCACAGGCAGCTCGGCACCTGGTCAACCCGGCACCTCACAAGCAGCTCGCCACTTATAGGCAACTCGCCACAGGAAGCTCACCATCATATAGCTTGGCAACTTAGACAACTCGGCACTGCACAGGTAGCTCACCACTAGGCAGCTCGCCACCAAGCAGCTCACCACAAGCAGCTCGCCTGCTAATCAGACCGACCACCACATGATAATTCCAAGGAGCTCACCACTGTACCCCACATTTTACAGGATTGTGACTTGTAACGGCTATATTAGCTCACCCAATCCCTGATTTAGGCGGAAATGGGCCACCTTACCGGTTGGTGGCTTTATCCCCACCTAACACGAAAGTAGGTCCCATCACAACGGGAATCCAGGAACTGCTCCACCAAACCCACGAGGACTCCAGTATATATAGACCTCACCCCCCAGGGGCGAAGGTAGGCAAAAAAAGAAAGATGAAAAATGAGGGGTGATCTCTGCTCTCTAGCTCTCTCATTCTCTAATATCATTTTCAGCTCACGATTACGTGCTGACTAAGCCATTGGAGTGACCTCGCCGGATAAACACCCCGGGTTCTTTGATTCAGTTCATGCAAGTCCCTCCGTTCCTGCTGTCTACAAAGATGAGCAAATCATCTCCAGCAAGAAGTAGCCGGTTCTGTTTCCGTCGTTGTTGGTAGCCAGATCACCTCCTGCAGGGAGCAGCTGGGTTGCGCTACGCTGGGGAGGTCCACTTTAGCCTCTGAGTCATCAGCCACTTGGGAGCAGACGAGGTGACGAGGTACTTAGCCAAAAAAATGGAACGTGACCGGAAACGGTTACATCAACCCCGATAATGGTACTATCGAGATCAAGTACTGTTCTGTGATACCCCTCCTGGACAAAAGGTTGATCTCATTGCTGCTAGGAGGACTATTCGTATGAGGACAAGCCACTCAACCATTGCGAAAAAAAAGCAAGCTTAGGGAAGTTATATGTTTGGTTTCCTTTTTACTTTTTTTGTAGTTTGTCTTATTTCAAACATCATTGTTTCGTAAGGGGATGTTTGGAACCGTGGCCGTTTTTCAAAAAAATGGTGTTACGTCGGATTCACATAGGCGTTTCAACAAATGCCTATGTATCTCATTATTTGGTTCAGCCGATTATTAAAAAACCGGGCATGCCTCGAAAATTGGGACCCCACCGATGGTGTTATGTCGGATCCACATCGGTGAACCGTTCCTCCAATGGTTGACTGATATGTATCCTGTGTAGTGCTTACCTGTCAGCACATACATGAAAAACGGTGATGAAAATCACCTTACCAAATAGCATAGTGTTGCTCACTACATACATGGCATAAGCGTTTTTTTTTGTGAAAAATAGGTCTTGAAAGCATAAGCATTTTTTCTTGAAAATCGATCCCAAAAAGGCCCACACTTCCAAACTAGGCCTGTTCATGGGCCGACCCGGCTTGGCCCGGCACCCGGACGGGCTTGAACATGCAAATGAGCTCGTGGGCTTAACCTACGAGCCGGGCTCGGGAATTGCCAAAATAGCCCGGCCCAGCCTGACCTATAGACTAAACTTAAAAAACCCTAAGCCGAACCTCTCTTCTCTTTCACCTCTTTCATCTCTTTCCCCTTAGCCAAATCTCTCTTCTCTTCACATCCTCCTCAGTCCTCACACTCTCAGGCAGCCACACAATCGGCGAGGTGGTGAACATTCACCGGCACAACAACTCCGGCGATGAGTCCTCTCCTTCTCTCTTGTTCCTCTTCTCACTTCTCTTTCAAATCTCAGACACCGGCGAGGCGATGAATATAGGCACCGGCGATGAGTTCTCTCTCTCTCTAAGACGTGAACTGACACACTTTTCACTATTAAGATCGCAGCTCATTGCGAACTCAACTCCAACGAACACAGACACTGGTGGTGAGTAAAAGCCCGGGCTCGGGCTCAGGCTTTGGGCTTTTTATTAGGGCCGGGCTCGGGCCCAAGTTGTAGGCCCGTTGGTCGGGCCGGGCTCGGGCTCAGGCCTAACAAATTTCTATTCATGAAGAGTAAAAGCCCGGCCTGAGCCCGGCCCATGAACAGGTCTATTCCAAACACCATGCTAGTTTACTTGGGGACAGTGTAATCAGAGTGAAGACATGATGAAATTTTGTTTTGATTTTAGGAGTGAGATTTACTCAATTAGAATGGTATGGACGGACACAGAAAAATGTTTGTACTACAATCTCTGTGGTTGTGGATGGACCAATCGCTTTTACTACCGGATGGCGGAGGAATGTGGGAAAAATTCTCAAGCAAGATTCTGTTGAAATTGCTGCAACAAAGAAGGGATTCTTTTTTTTTTGGCTTCATGGGGCTACACAACAGGGGTAGCCCATCCCCTTTCCCTCAACCCCCTCAACCCCTGGTGGCAGCGGGATTTGATCCCAAGTCTCTACTCCGACGAGTCAGAGAACCTACCAACTGAGAAAGAAGGGATTCTACTCTGATGGAAAACAGAGACGGAGGCAGAAAACGAAAACGGAGACAAAGATGGAAAACAAAAACAGAGGCAAACAGAAACGGAAATGGAGGCAAAAAATAATGGAAGGTAAATTTGTCATTTCATTTTTTCCGTTGAATTAATTGATGGCGCAAGACAATAACGAGAGTAAGGGTTGTGCAAGATAATAATAGTTAAACAATAAGGCTGTGTTTGGAAAGGACGCAAATAATTGTGAATGCAAATATGTAGAGTGTAAAACAGTTCATATAAATTGCAAAATTGGGTTAGCTTTGCACTAACAAATTTACCTTCTTACCAAACAGACTTTTAGCTTAATGGATGCAAACATGAATTCCAATAAAATATAT